GTACATATTTCTAACATATCATGTTTTCACTTACTCCTTTAGAATATAATCTCCGTGAGTCAGAGAATTCTGTTTGTTTTATTCATTGCTGTATACCAAGCATCAATAAATAAATATTTGTTGAATGAATGAACTAATGAATTCTATAAAAATTGCATCTCTGCTGTGTTCCAGATACTGTGAACAAAAGGGACATTACCTCTATGTTCGTGGAAAGCTACAGTGCAATGAGGAGATGGACACAGGAGCAGCTCTAATAACCCATGGTAAGTGCTAAAACCAGCGAAATAGAAGGTGGGGAAACAGAACAGAACCACCTACGTCAGTTTTGGTAAATGGTCAGGAGGATCTCATATAAATGACTTTTAAGTTAGAACTAGAAGTATGGAGGGAACTAAACAAAGAAGAGCGAAAGACAACATATTTTCCAGGCAAAGGTAATAGAAAAGAATCTCAAAGTGAAAGGAGAAGTTTGGATGCCTTTCAAGACTGAGAATAACTACAAGGAAAAGTTTTCGCGGTGAAGGTTATAAGACTAGATCATTTTCAGATCAGGATCTGCAAGCAATTCATGGACTTGCAGAGTCCTTCTGAGACTGGCAAGCAGATTACCTGTATTAGTATTGAGTCAGGAGTTAAGGATGAAGTCACCATTGCAGATGCTTCAATAACCCTTTTTAATAAGTTGACAAATCAGTTAGGTTTTAAAAAAAGAAAAACAAACAGGAATTCAACAACAGTTGGCCATGGGCTGGAGCACCAGGTGAGAAAGGCTAGAAAGGTTAGCAGAGGCTGGATCACAGAAACCCTCCTCAGCTGTGTTCCAGGATTGTGACTTTAACCTAAGGCACCTGAGGATGCTGAAGAGTGAAGCAGAGAAGTGATCTGATCAGATGTGAGTTTTTCACTCGACTGCAAAACAGAGGTGGGCTATGGATCATGACAGAGTGAACTGGAGGCAGAGATGCAGTAGTCTAGGTAGACACGGTAAATAGATTACAGTTTTAGTCCAATGTGGAAAAATTTTGCTTTTCATCTTGTTTTATGTGGAATGTTTAGAAACAACTTTCTCTTCAAACTAATGTTTGTCATTAACTCATGAAAGATACATTCAGCATGACCTTAGAGCATCTTCCTGTCTCTCTTACTCTCTGCTCGTTCGTTCTTAACCTTCATACATACAATCTCACACACACACACACACACACACACACACACACACACTCATACACAAGCACTCACATGCCATAGTGGGATCTATTTTTAACTGGCTGTTATTATATATAGTAAAGATATTAGGGTCTTTATTTGAGAGAACTCTTCTATAAGGTACTGGCTTAATTAATAATGAATCTTTAGTTTTTCAGGGCTACATGAGTTTTTGTTTTATAAGGCTGAAGTTTATCTATCTCTGCCAATGGAAGGTCCATATAAAATTCTTTATGAGTGGCTTTATTTTTTTCATTCATTCAATTTAATGCAACTGATATCACATAAGACTAACTTTTAAGCTTGTATTGAGATCATGGTTACACTATAAACCCCTGAGGGCAGGATCTCTGTCTGAGAGTGTATTCCTGTATCCTCCATGACACTGAGCACACAGCTTGACACAAGCTATATGTTCAGATTTGACAAATAGCTACATTTCCCGTACATGACACAATTTAAATTAATTCAACAAAATTTTATCTAGCACTTCCTGTGTGCTGTTGTTGTTCATGGTGTGATGTACCGCTGCCCATGAGTAAATCCTATCACCTTATTTAATGAGCATGATGTACTGATTATCTCATTAGGAATTTAGGAGGTGATTTTTGGTGGCACATAAATTGGCAACTCACACCAGTAATACTACAAGTCAAAGACATTCTGTTTCCTCCTCTCTTTTCTTTTTTTCTTCCTACACTCCCACTTTCATGACGTGTTTCTCCAGGATACCCCTTGGCCTCCAAAGCTGTGTAATGAGGTGTCTGAGCCAGCGATAATCCCCTGAGGTTCTCAGCGTTCCACAGTCCCCTCTCTCCCTTCCCTCTCGACAATGAAAACTTGAGACCAGTATTTCGGAAAAGCATTTCTGGAAGGCTGCCAGCCCCTGTCCTGGACATTAGTGAGGCTAGATTTTCATTCCATTCATGTGACCTTATTTCTTCTTAAGAAAAAAATGTCATAGGTTTTTCAAAGTCGGGAGCATTGGTAGCATAGACAATAGAAGAAAAAATTAAAGTCATTTCACAGAAGCCAAAGGAGAAAGCGAGAGACACTGCAACGCATATAACAATGTTCCTCTCTTCTTTTGAGGGCCATATGATATGTGCGCTTATGATTCATTGCACACTGACACTTTTTGATTACTCCACAGTGAAAGGGCCTTTGCCAGAAATGAACCCTTGATACCATGCTTTCATGTTTGCCGTGTCAGCCTCCTCTCATACTGACTGTACACAGGTTCTTTCATATTCCATTCCTCACGGCATTGAAAGACAGAAATATCAGCACACAATGGCTTGATTCACAGTGATACAGCCTTGAAAACACCCCAGACACAGTGGGCTTCGTGTGGCTGTGCCACACCCAGGAACGCAGGATCTCGGGTAGAGTCCGGGATTCAGTCACCGCCTCACCACCTGATGCGCCGGCGTTAGGTTGCTGAATGAGAGGCTACGTAACACGCCTCGAAGGAGGTTTCTGTACTCAGTGCCAGTCAATCAGTCTTCCATGGGCCCCAAGAGCATCTTAAATGCTTATAGTCAAAGTTCAAAAAGTGATTAAGGCTTGGGGGCAGTAGGTTTCTCTGAAACTTGTACCCAAACAGCCATGGAAATCAACATGGCCGGCACTTCAAAACACATGTTGAAAGTGAAAGGTTAGTTGAAGGTCATGAGGGGGTGACAATTCACCTTATGTCCTCTCAACATAGTTCACAGTCAAAAGTACCTTGTTTTCCAGGTTACCTAATCTTCTCCCTCTATCAGTGGAATCAAAAGGAATAATCCAGAGTAGATCTCTTCCTCCTTGAGGCAGGAAGCTTCCACACTCTGCCACTCATGTATTCTTTGCAATTGATTAAGATTGCCTTAGATGTGGGGGAGCTGTTTCTGATCCTCTTATCACAGTGTAAAGTAAAACATGCTTGACTGGTTAATAAAAATGGAAGATGGAGTTACAAAGAGGAAAAGTTCACTTGAAAGTCCAAACAGAGACTGAAGTTCTTCGGTCACACCCAGGAAAGACAAGCATGTTTTAGAAACGGAATTAACGGCTCCCTGGCAAACTTTTTCTAATTTACCATTAATTATGAATATAGCTAAGAAAAAGGGGCATTCTATATTAGCAGTCTGAATTCAAATATATAAAACAAAACCAAAAAAATAAATGTTTTCCAGGTTTAAATTCCACAGTCCAGGGCTGCAATTGCCAAAGGCATCTGTAAAAGTAATTTTTTCATGTGTACAGGGAACACTAAATGAGTTCACTGTACTTCATAAGTTATTAATATGTATGATTTTTAACTTCCTCTTTCATAAATCACTATTCATTCTCTCTAGATTTTCCATTTATAATATAACCCCGTTTGGACATCGCACAAGTAGTCACTTCTCTAAAGTTTTGTTATAACAATTAGAGAGAATCTTAGAACAGGGGACCTTCAGTGGATCTTAGAAGGCAGCTAGATTGGCCTCTCCTTTTACAGATGGGGAACCCAAGACACAGAAATGAAAGTCAGAGCCATGTTGGAACCGGCTCCCAAACAACGCTCTTTGCTTGGGAGACCATGTGTACCACAATGGTCACAAGCACTGGTTGTGCAGTCTGGCTGCCAGAGTTTGAATCCTGGCTTTACCACTGACCAGCTGTTTTACTCTGAATAAGTGGTTTAATCTGTGAACCTCAGTTTCCTCATCTACAAGTTGGGGATAATAACAGTAGCTGCCTCACGGAGTGATTTCGGAAGTTGTCAATAAAGAGATTATCGGGATAATTTTGCTATATTAATCTTTGTAATGTTTCAACCGTTTTTTAATAATCTCACCCTCATTTGGGCTGTAAGAGCTGAAGCCAAAATTTTCTCCAGGGGAAGTTTGCTTGAAAGAAAATGTTTTTTTTTTTTGATATCAAACAATCACCATGACAAATTCTTAGTTTCTGTATCCCAAAGCCTCTTAGCAGAGTATTTGATGTCACTAAATGTCTATTTTTATTAACGTCAGTCTCTATTGCCCAGTCATTCAATAAAACGTAAGAATCACGAGATCTTTAACGAGCTAGTACATATATGAAAAAAATAGAAAAAATTAAAACGAACTATAGAATGTAAAGAGCACTAAGCATTTAATATTTATTATGGCTCTCAGTAACTTACTTTTTGAAGCTACAACTATTTTGATTTTCTACAGGAAGAACGTCTTTTATTCACACTCGCTTTTATGTAAGGAGACTCAGCAACTTATACCTAGGACTTGTCATGCCACCGGAGTGCATTGTATTAACGCACACTCCTCTCTGTGGTTGAAAACTTTGTTAAGAGGCCCCTTTCGCTTCTCAAGCCTCACATCAATGGAGACGTTTTAGGACATTGCTAAGCACTTAGAAAGAGTTTGCAATGTGGTTCATTTTAGTGCTGGGAAATTCTTCTTGGTGTTACCCTGACCTCAAGTGGTCTATTTCCTAATGCTTTTAGCAGTAAAAAAAATCATATTACATTCAAACCTATTTTATTATTTCTACAGTTTATAAATAGATAGGAAATACCAATCAACTTTAAAAAGCCAGAGTTTTCCTTAAAGTCTGAAACAGAATTATTAGGGAGATCGATTTGTTCTTTGGGGTTCATCCGTCTCCATTTTTGTCCTCCTTTTCATTACCGTCTCTCTACATAGCTGAAAACTGTACGTGGATTCTTACTGTGTCCTGGACCTTACATTTGGTGTTTCTACCTCCTTTGATGGTTTTGCACAATGTATACTTTTATTTTCCCACAACAAAACCTATGTGTCTATTCCCTCAAGACCCTGGGTGGGTTAGATATATTTTCTCAACCTCTTTCCTCCACAGTAAAAGGTAATAAGAACGCCTACACCAGTCTTCTGAGATCTATCCAAACTGTGGGATTACAATAGCATATGCATAAGATCACAGGCTCACAGGTCAGTCAGAGATCATTTCAAAGCCCTTTTTAGCTACACACTATGCCTCTTGAGTAAGTTGCTTACGTTGTCATCATCGGTAAAATGGATATAAACAGTGAGACTGACTTCAAGGGGTTGCTGACATAATTAAATGAAACAATACAGGTAGAAAACTTAGCAATGTGAGCAGCACACAAAGTGCCCCAAAACACTAGCCATTGTCACTGTCATCATGAAAAGCAACTGGCACAGTACTTGGCCTGTGTGGAATACGTGGAAATTACTAAAAATTAGTGCTATGGCATTTGACAATTATAGGAACAAATGCACACTCACTTCTAGGTTAATAGGGGACTTACCATCTTTCAGATGCAACACGATCTATATTAACTCTCTGGTGGCACTCCACCTCATTCAGATGATGGAGGGAAGCATGGTTTGGAAGGCAGATCTGTGGTTCAGGACGCTCAAACTGCAGCTCACAGGGGGCCAGCCTGTCCTCTGATCACACACCAGGCCTGCCCTGACTGGCTGTTGCCTATGGGGACTTCAGCCGTATCACATGTGCTTTTCATTAGTGAGAACTGTATTTTACCTTTGAAGTTCTTGTTTTTAAATCCAATAATACTAAATATTCAGCAATCCAAATTACATATAACTGCTCTAGGATTTTACATAGCTCCTTACCGGCTTACCAATTTCTCTGTCAAGTACAAACTTTATTTTATATACACTAAACCCCAAAGACATTTATTTTGGAAACTTTTTGGCGCTCTAGTTCAAAACAGATGAACACGACCCACTGAAGCTAGGTCTATTCGATGAATTATGTAATCACATCTCTGAGTCAGGCATTCCAAAGGAACTGCTTTTAACAATAAAAATCTGGTCAATATACTCATTTTTCCTGAGGAGAGCATCAAAATCTACATTTGTATTTCCCAAAGTAGGTGCTAACTGACAAAATTTCTGTGATTATTTGACTAGATCAAATCCCCTGCACTATACATCCCCTCCTAGAGCCTGACTCCGCACATTAACATGTTAAAAGTTCTGAAAATCCTAGAGGACAGAAATCTGTTCAAACTTGTTTTGCCTAGCTGGTAAACAGACTTATCATGTATTTTCGTTTGAAGAACACACCTATTACCAATCCGAGGAATCAGTGTTCCTTAAAATATATTTTGGAGAAAAATATTAATTTTGATGACTAATACAGAAAAACAAACTTCCCCTTAGATTGAGTACGTGAGCAGCATTTGACATCTCAGCTGTCGCTTCCAGTCCCTGGAAAGGAAAAGCAGCCCAGTCTCTTGCTACAAGCTAGATCAGTTACATACTCACCAGCCTGCTATTGAACTCCACATGCCTCTGTCTTTGTGGTTAGAGGTGCTGGAGGAATTAACTGAAGATAATTGATAGAGTTTCACAAAATTCTAAACCAAGAACTTCAAAGTTAAATACAAAAAAGCAATTTCTACTAAACACCTCAAAAACAAGTGTAAATTATATCTTAATAGTTCAACCACTAACAACCTACCATGGCAAAGTGTTAGAATTAAAGGTGTTGAATCTATTCGTTCGGACACATTTAATAAGCATTTCTTGAGCACCGAGCACTGGATGTCTAGATGCTGGAGGTACACTGTTGGGGAGGTACAATCTCTGTCCTTAAGGATGGTGGCAGAGATGGATGTATTATATGAATAACAGAAGTGAATACTGTGATGGGGTAGCATAGGAGGCCATGGGGACAAATCAGAGGGGTGTCAGCCCAGTCCTAGTGGGGTGAGGTTTCAGAGAAGACTTCCCTAGGACATAGGGTTGCCACATAAAATAGAGGATGTCCAGTTACATTTGAATTTCTGATAAATAAGGAATAATTCCTTAATATAAGTAAGTACCCATGCAATATTTGCAACTGGGTGTTCCGCATTTTTATTAGTTAAATCTGGCAACTCTAACTAGGACATGATGTTTAAGTTGCAGTCTGAAGTAAAAGAGTCAGATGGAGAAACAGAAAAGACCCATGGAGGCAAACGGACCCACATGGACAGAGCTGCAGATTTACATCTGGGCACAGCGCCTGCAGAGACGTACGAGCAAGTCGGTATGGCAGAATTAGGGATTTGGATGGAGGGGGCAGTTGTAAACATATTTTAGAGTGTCTGCTTTCTTTAGAGGTGATGGGAAGCCAAGAGATGGCTTTATGTTTAGTGTTATCCGATTGGTGCTTTAGAAATAGCAGTCTGGAATTGGGCCAGACTAGATGCACGAAATCCATTAAGAGAGTGCTGTTAGTAAACTTACTGAACGATGATGGTGCTTGAATTAATGTGGTGACCATGAGGATGAAGAGATATTCATGACTTCAAATATATTTTGAAATTACTGTTATGGTTGGGGGTTCACATCCTGAAGTCAAATTGCTCTGCTGCTTGTGAGAGGTGTGTGGTTAAATACCGTGGGGGTTAAGAATAAAGGCATTTCAGTCTATGTATATAGAGCCCTCTCTGAGCTCAGGTTCTCACTATTACAATGGGTCTAATAATAACATAGGATTATTATAGTATTACATTAAATAATACATTTCAAGTGTTTAGCACAGATCTTGGTGGCTGATTGACTATGAGAGAAAACACGGAGGGGTAAAGAATGACAGGTTTCTTTTGGGGAAATTAGAATGAGAGAGGAGGAAAATCAGAAGAAACCCAGAAACAGACCCCCCACAGGTATTGATCTTTGACAAAGGAATAAAGGTGATTCAAGGGGGAAAGGAGAGTCTTTTCAACAAATGGTGCTGGCACCAGTGGACAGCGACATGCAAAAAAGTGAATCTTCACCCAGACCATATGCTCTTTATAGAAATTAACTCAAAATGTACCAAAGACCTAAAGGTGAAAGACGAAACCATAAAGCTCCTAGGGGATAGTAGAGGAGGACTCTAGGTGACCTTGGGTTTGGAGATGACATTTTAGATCCAACATCACAAAGTATGATTTATGAAAGAGAAAGTTGCTAAGTTGAACTTCATTAAAATAAAAATTTCTGCTGTGTGAAAGACACTGTCAAGAGAATGAAAAGACCAGCCATGGAATGAAGGAAAAAATCTTCACAAAACACATTTCTGATAAAGAACGTGCATATGAAAAAGCCAAAAAGCCCTTAAAACACAATAATAAAAAAACAAACCCAATTTTTAAAATGGGCAAAGGGATCTGAACAGACACCTTATCAAAGAAGACATACAGACAGCAAGTAAAGATATGAGAGGATGTTCAGTATCATATGTCACCAGTGAATTGCAAATTAAAACAGCAGTGGGAAACCACTATGTACCTATTAGAATGGCCAAACTCCAGAAGTCTGACAATACCAGATGCTGTGAGAATGTGGAACTTCCACTCATTGCTGGTGGGAATGCAAAGTAGTACAGTTATTTTGGAAGACAGTTTGACAGCTTCTTACAAAACTAAACATACTCTTAACATAAAATCCAGCAATCGTGCTCCTTGATATTTACCCAAACAAGTTGGATACTTCTGTCCACACAAAAATCTCCACATGAATGTTTATAACAACTTTATTCACAATTGCCAAAACTTAGAAGCAATCACGATGCCCTTTAATAGGTGAATGGATAAACAAACTGGGGTACACTTATCCACACAATGGAGTACCATTTGGTGACCAAAAGAAATGAGCCATCAAATCACAAAAGGACAGGAAGGAAACTCAGATGCCCTTCGCTAAGCTAAAGAGGCCAATCTGAAAAGGTGACATTCTGTATGATTTCCCATATGATATTCTGGAAAAGGCAAAACTATGGAGACAGTAAAAAGATCATTGACTGCCAGGGTTTGAGGTGGAGGGAGGGATGAATAGGCAGAGCAGAAAAGATTTTAGGGCAGCAAAACTATTCTGTATACTACCGTCATGATGGATACATTCGTAAAAACCCATAGCATGTACACCACAAAGCGTGAACTCTGTGTAAACCATGGACTTCAGTTAATAACAGGATATCTAAATTGACTCACCAACTGTAACACAGCCACCGCACTAATGCAAGATATTAACAACAGGAGGGGTGTACAGCAATTCTCTGTACTTTCTTTCCAATTATTCAGTGAACCTAAAACTGCTCTCTAAAAAAGTTCATATAGATGTCTGTGTGTGTGTGTGTGTGTATATATATATATCTATATCTGCGGAAGAGAGATCTGGGGTGTGGTCAAGGGTATAGTTATTGCAGTCAAAACACCTGCAAAGAATACTGGTGGTGAGGAAAGAAGAGGACGGAGCAGAGCATCCAGAGTCACCTGTATGGAGACACAGAGGAAGGGTGGACTGGGGAGAAGAGAGGGAAGGAAGGAACCAGACGATGAGGTGACACAGAGACCAGCATGGAGACTCCCTTCAGCAGGAAGGAGCAGCCGGAGTCAGAAGAGCCAAACAATTCTGTGGATTTGGATTGGTTTCCTCAGGCTGCTGTAACGAAGTACCACCAAATGGGTGGCTTAAAACAACTGGAATCTGTGGAGTCCGAAATCCAAATGTTGTTCGGTACCACAGCCCTGGAGGTCCTGAGGGACACTCTGCCCCACACACAGGCTTAGCTTTTGGTGGCTGTCAGCAAGCCTTCGGGGTCATTGGCTTGTAGACATACCACTCCCATCTCCACCTTCATCATCGCCTGGTATTATCTTCCAGTCTGTTTGTCTGTCTGTATCCAAACTGACAGGGAGGGAATATCATATCCCTCTTATAAGGAAAGCAGTCATTGGATTAGGAGCCATTCTAACCCAGTATGACCTTACCTTAAGGTCACATTCACTGGCTCTGAGGCTTTAAGACATTTAGGGGGACACAGTTCCACCCAGAAAGGAATTGATGAATGAAGTGACCACTGGATTTAGGTTGGTGATCTTGAAAAAGTACTTTCCACACTATTCTGTACACCTGAAACTATCACAATATTGTAAATCAACTATACTTCAACTTTAAAAAAAGAATTAAGGTTGTCCAAAAATATTGAGCTGAAAAGATGACATTGTAAATAAATATTAACAATTTGAAACATACTGTATCAATATAACAGAATACTTAGCAGCCCTTAAAAATCCTGTTGTCAAAAAGAGACAGTTAGGAGGAGCTAAGTGAAGAAAGTAGTTTACAAAATAAGAAACAGGGCACGATCCCATTTTTTAAAACTAGATGTATAGAATGTATATGCATTAAAAAAGAACTGGATGATTAAATTTTAAAAAGTACTTTCAGTGGATGGGTAGAAATCAAAACCCAACTGTGGAGGTTTGAATAGTGAGTGACAAGTGGAAAAGGAGACATATCGAGTGCAGACACATCTTCACACAAGTTCTGAGGCAAATCTGGAAGGAGTGAAGGGACATGAAAAAGTTTTACCCACTTTTTTTTAAACAAATGAGATTAGGTAAATGTTGGAAAGGAGTTCAGACAGGAGATACCAGAAAAACTCTGATAATTTGGAAAAGGATGCAATATAGAACAAGGATTAGAATTAGAAAGAGACTATCTCTTCCTCTAAAATAAAGCAGAAGGAAAACACAGATATATTTATAGATGCAGTGGCAGGAAATTGACAGAGTACCCATAGGATGGATTTTTTTTTCCTCGTGAGGAAGATGTAGCGAGGTGAGGGAGAATTAAGGTAAAATATTTGAAGGGTGAACAAGCTTCAAAATGTTTATGATTGAAAACGAGAAGGAATGACTACGGTTCGGCATGTGGAGGGTCCCTTTGGGACCGGCCCACATTTTTAGCGGAGTTAATAAAGTTAATACACATTCTTTTAGTGAACTAATCTGCACATATTTCTGCTTTTTTTTTTTCAGTGATGGTCATTAGCCCAGGTGGAGGCAGGTGTGATAAAAGGAAACCAGCAGGCCTCTGAAGGGATTGGCCAAAGAGTAGTGCAAAGATGGGCTGTGATGTTTAAGCTGGAGAAGAAAAAAAGTAGATGTGGAAGGGAGTGTCAGAGAAAGCAGGACAGGGTCAGATAATAGCCACGTTGAAGAAACTAAGTTAAAATTGTTGAATGGTAGCGGGTACTGCCAGAGAATGGCAAGTTGGAATTTCAGATTGCCGAGGTGGCACCATTCTGGATAATCTGAAGCTCTGGAGTGACGCCAGACACGCCTCAAGTAAGGGAGAGGTGAGAATTACTAGAGTTGATGCTGCAAGACTGAACACATTATAATCAGCTTATTAAAGGTTTTATTTTTCCTACATCAACAAGAATGTAAAATATAGTTGAATGATATTCAGAATATATTTGTTTTTAAAATATGCAGCATCCTGACTCTAAACAAAGTTGTAAACTGCTGAGTTTTCTGTGTAGCATCCTCTCCTCTTTGTTGGTGTTTCTTACTACTGTTACCTTGCCCTATGCTCCTTCATAACAGACCCACACATTCCCTCCCCTTTAAGGACCTCTTTGCTTTCCCCAACGTTGCCCCCATGCTAAACTTCTCTGCTCCTTTCATTGGAATCTTGTCAGTTTCAGTACCTTAGATTTTCAAGTCAGCTCCTTAAAAATTGTTGAATAGATAAGTAAGTGATTCATGCCACTGAACTGAGAGGGAGCAAAGCAGAGGGAGCGTAGACTAGACCCAACACCTGGGGCAAATCCTAGACCTACCACCGAACTAGTTGTGTGACATTAGGGGATGTTCATCTCTCTGGGCTTCAGTTTTCTGATCTGAAAGGGGAAATATGAGGACTCGCTCATCTGTCACATAATAAGCACTGTGTGAGTGTTTGGTAAATCAAATGAGTGTTAATGAATTTATGTTCTTCCCTCACAGACATCTGTTGGGATCCCTGGATACATCAGTTTAACTATGAGAGAGAACTGGAGAGGACGTTTCATACCAGTTGCAGAGTTGATGATCCCCCCTTCCCTCGATCACATTGGTGGAGGTGCCTCTTACACCTGTGCAGTGCCATCTACTGGTACAAAATAATAATAATGAGTGGATTTAATATTTCCCTCAAGAATAAATTTTTTCAAGCTTCAGAACTTTAAGAAATGCATAGAGATCTCTGATCTTTGCTAGCCTGATACCCTCTCTCTTCCTTGTTTTTTGTTTGTTTTTCAAAAGGTGTATTTCGCCCAATGAAAAACTAAGACAAAATAAATACAATAAATGCATAGTATTTTTAGAAGAAGGAATGGCTTTCTACAAATGCCTTGAACGGACTAGATTATTTGTGGGGTAAAACAGTAACTTTTTATCTGTATCTAAGTGTCCATTTGCTGAATGAGTTACAAACTCATTCAGAAAGACAATGAAACAGCAAGACCAAAGTGTTGTAAGCCCATGGTAGATGAGTAGCTTCCACTTGGCTTATCATCTGGGTTTACTCAAAATTATGTCATAATAGCATCCGCTGACCATGCCCTCTCGGGAAAGGAAGGAAGTTGCCTTCTTACCATTGCTGTATTATCCCAGGGACTGGTAGCTGCTCTTTTCCCTGATTGTCACTTAAGACGTTAGACTTTTGCCTAGGTATGGGCTCCAGGAAAGGGGGGGAACAGATAAAAGAAGAAAAAGGGATAGATAAAGAGTAGGGAAAAGAAACTATAGAAGAAAGATCATGAATTAAGAGATAAGTAGATTAAACAAGCTCATCCCAGTGAGAGGAGGAGAGAGATACACAGTGCAATCCATCTTTTTCTCAGGTATTATAAATTGTGCTCAATCTGAGTTTTTCACCATTTTATAATAGGTTCTAATGCTGATCTCTAGTTTTGTTGCATCAAACTGCCATCAAACTGATTTTTGATCAATTTGACTTACTAATGACTGAAAATTGACTTATGATAGCTGAGGATAAATCCATATATATTTTTAAGTGTCTATGAAATTCTCTTTGCATGGGAAGGCTTAAATTAGAGATGACTTCTTATCCCACATTTTAGATTCTTTTCAGGTGATCAGATTCAACTGTCTCTGCAACATAGCCATGAGCACATCCAAAAAGAGAAGAAGAAGGAAAAAAAAAGCTTCTGTTAGAGGGCTGGGAGGCAATCTTCCCCCAAAGGGGTTTGTTTGTAAATTGCTTTGGTCCACTTTACAAGGTCAAATCCATTCTCCTAATGATGAATCTCATCTGTTCTGGCAGAGAAAGAAATGTTTTCTTTCACTTCTACGTGTGGCAAGAGCTCATTCATCTCAGTAAGTTCTGAAGAGAAATCTAGCTACATCAGAGAGAGGAGTACTCAAAGGGCAACTGATGGCCAGGAAGATATATGGAATTCACTTTCCTGAGACAGACATTCAAATGGTAACAAGTGATAGAAAACAGCTCTATATTTCAGCGTGATGTGTGTTCGCCCCTGATGATTAAACCCCCTGTGAGCCATCTGCGTTTAATGGGTTAGAACTACTTTGTAGCTGCAATTTTTTCCTTCCACTGCTCTTATTTATTTGAGAGGAGACCGAACTCCACTCTTTAAAAGTTAAGCATGTAAGAAACCCTGCCAAGAGAATCAGAAAGAAAAGGCAAATTTATAGCCCAGTGTTGTTTTAAGCATTTAGTAGTATAAATAAGAAGTGTAGATAAATGTGTACAAGTAGACGCATAAGTGACCCTCTGTTTATCTCAGTTACATTATTTGCCTAAATGCCAGAGCAGAATTAACCCAATTAGTTTATATAACGGCTAATGCTGTCCCTCCGCTGAGCTATTAGAGACATGCATAACTGGTGCTGGACCAGGAATGGTGTTTTTTTTACTTCTAAGTCAAGCCTTGGGGACTGTGGTTTGCATCCAGTGATCCTTGCAGATAAAAATCAGAATCCAGTGTGGAGATTATGGTGGCTGGAAGCAAGGTACACTCTTGGTGTCATTAATGCAATCAAATTGAACTTCTGGTTTAAAATGCCAGCGGCGATAATGGCTTTCTATGTGTGATTCTGTCTTACCCGAGACATGTCACATTTTACTAACATCTCATTATTTTTCTCTGACTTAGAAAAGTCGGCAGCCAGAAGCACTCAATAAATATTTGCTGAATTGAACTGAACTCTGAGAACTGAGAGGTGAGGAGGCACTGACCATCAGTGACACATCTGGGATCAGAATCTTGATTCTGTTCTGCCGAGCAGTAATCTCAGCCAAAGCCAATGGAAATATTACATGAAGAAGTTTCAATCTAAGAAAATTTTCGCAAGGCTACAGATGTTCATCTGAGTCATGTAACTGCAGGAGCCTAGGAACTTCCCTCTTGCCCTGTATTTTCACCCTTAATATATTGACTAACTTCAGGGTTCTCCCTCTTCATAATATCTAGTTACATAGCTCTCTTCCTAGGTCATTAAAATTTTTTTCTAAGGTATTTCCCTGAATAATTTCTCCTGTCTTTTTTTTTTTTTTCCTTTCCTTTGAACCAGAAAACATATCTATAAGGAGAGGCTTCTAAGGGCTTTAAAAACATCCATCAATTTCACAGCTGGGAATGGTGGGACTCTAGATAAGAAAGGACAGTTCTTCCATTAAACCTCTATTTATTAAATGTAGGCAAGAGTTTTGTATTACATGAGACAAACTTTGGCCACACTGAGGCAGACAAAGAGTTAAATTAAAGACACAAAAGCGACACCCAGCTGCTGCTGTTTTTTCTTTTCCCTCTCATGGAGTAGGGAGTATTTTTCCTGTAATGACCTTAGAATCTTCTGTCTTTTTCTTGGTCAGAGATCAAGGGGTACACCAGGGTGAAACCGCCTTCTCACTGAACTTCTCTATCAACTTTCTGCACGTGTATTTTGAAGCTACACTTACAATTTTATAGACATCTTATTAAAATATCTATGCTATCTTTTCATATTAGGTAAGTGTCAGCAAATGTCATCCACCCAACTAAACTGGATATTCCTTGAAGACAAAGGCTATGGCTTGCATGTGTTCATAACCTCGACAGCACAGCACATCGTAATATTATGAGTTCAGCACATATTCATTGAATTATTTGAGAGTCAAAGGCTTGAAAAACATTATGGAATCAAATAAATTATTTCTCTGCTGAACCTGAGAACTTCAATCCAGTTAATAAAATAATAATAATAATAAAGAAAAGAAAGATTTAAAGTTAGAGAAATGTTGCAGTGTGATATATATAAAGAAAGGGTTGCAAATATTTTAACTATCACGGGCATAGCTTTTCAAGACACATGTGGGGTTTCCTTAAGGGAAAAAAATGACAAATTTCTATATTCCTATACGTTCCTATTCATCTTTCAATGTCTGACTTGAATGTTACCTCTTCTCTGCAGCTTTCCATGCCTATCTATAAAGGTTGAATTAATTGATTTCTTGTTTTCCAACAGTATTTTGTTTGAGCCACTTCCATATCATATTTTAATTAATTATTGTACTGTATGGTCTCCCCCACCAGCATGCAGTTTTTCAAAGGTTTTAGCATAAAGAGAGTTCCCAACCAATGTTTGATAAATTGAGTAAAACTGAATGTAAAGATTTAAAAAATGAAGAAAAGGAAGACAAAAATCTAACACCGACTCCATGGGAGGAAAAATTAAGAGTCTGTAAAGAAAGTATTTAAATTAAGTACTTCACAAACTAGGATAAAATATTTTCAAAAACATATTTCAATTATGTTTTCTTCATAGCTTTAAGAAAAGCATGTGGAATAAAACATCAGAAGGAGAGTCATTGGACTTAGACGTTCCTTATATTCTCATTATAAATTTCCTCATCTGTGAAATGGAGATGATATATAAATACACAAATGTGAAAGTGCCTTGTTAATTTAAAGCCTTATACAGTTTTCCCCCCCAATTATTCATGACAAAATTAAGGCTCAGAGGAATGATAACCTTCCTAAACCTTTAAAGCTAAAAAGCAATACAAGTAGGATTCCTAAAGCCAAACTCCTTCCATGATGCTCCACAAACCATTTGAACCAGTTGCCTCTTCCCAACTGCCTAGCCCCCATCTACCGAGTCCTGGTTCCCCAGTGATCCTCACTGAAATGCCTTCTTCATTCATTCGTTCAACATCGAATGCCCTGGGGCCGCCTGCTCTGAAAAGTCCTATTCTCTTTCAACCCTACATTCTGCTAGTAATAGATAATCTGATAAATCATTACGCACTCTGCTATACTCAGTCTTTAATTTAGGACCATCCTCTAAGACGAAAAATTGTTTAATCTGAAGAAATGACCCTGATGCATCAGTTTGAAAACTGTCCTAATCAAGCGATAAACTTGAATTATAATTATTTCAAGATATCTTTAATAACTCTAATAAATATAATATGACAAAATCACAGGTACTGCTAAAACTACTCAGATTTGTTGTCCATATTTATAAATAAAAGAAAATGCTATATGTTTCATTCTAGGGGTTATTGGAAATAGATATATGATTATTTTTCTGTCTCAGTTTGTGCATTTTCTGAGTTCTGCCCAGAGATACACCGTCCTATACCCACTCTCCCTACGTTATTAACTAGGCTCTAGTGACACGGGGAGATTTCAAGCATTTGAATCTTTTCACCTTCCCTAACTGGGCTGCACCAGTCACCTGTAGGGGGCTCCTTTTGCCTTCTACTGAAAACTTATGTTCTGACAATGCTGGTAATTGTTCTTAATTATTGTCTTAAGTCTTTAAAGTCTACGTCAAGGTAAACAGATAAAATATTACATGTACATGTTATGTGAAGACGCATGAAAAACTTCAGAATGCGATGTCTCTTTTCCTACAGTTAGACATGCTATAAAATATTGTCATGATGAAATACTCAAGTCATTTATTTACCCCTTGAACTTAAAAAATGCCTACTGGCATACAATTCTAAGACTCAGCAGAAAAAACTTCCCTTAATTCTCTACTATTTTATGCAGCAGAATTGAAGGATTAGCTAGACCCTGTCGTGATATCTTTTCAGGATGAACGATGGCAGTATGTTTAAAAAGGAAAGTTACTGAAACA